GTACGCCGGCCGCCCGTGTCTCCTGGCTCACTCGCGCGCACACCGCCGCGCCGTCAACACGTGAGCGCTTCCCTGTTGCCATGGAGACGCCCAACAGATCCCCGGCGATGCTTAGTTGCGTCGCCTTCGCTTTGCTTTGCATCTCGCTATGTAATGGGTGAGTTCTCTGCAATGTGTTGATAATATGGTTATTTTTTTTGTCTTTTTACGTTTTTTTTTTTTTTTTTTTTTTTAATGCGAATTGGTTATATGAAAAGTGAAATTTGACTCGATTTCGGCAGGCCGTATTCAGTACTATTTATCTAAGACGTTACTGTGTAATTCTCTGTGCACTTGCTACATACGCGAAAATTCAATTATGATATTTTCTATTTCTAAATCCCTCGTAACTTAGTCATCTAAAACCATGAAAATAATTTACTATAACAAGAGAGAGAATTCGGAGGTGACCATGACAATTCTGTGTGATTTTTTTCTATACAATTATTGAAGGCAATTAATGAATTTGTACTATTTCATGTTGCCTTTGTAAACGAGTATAACTAGGATGTAGTTAGTATCCTTTTTCCTATGTTGTGTGTGTGTGCCAACATAGGCAATGAATATATACGGTACATACAAAATCTGTTTTCTTTACTTTCTTGTTTTGCTTTGTTTTGCTTCTTTGCGTCAGTATGACCAGAGATCAGTGTTGTTGCAAGTGTTCTAAGATAGATTACGTGAGTTGCCTTTCTAGTTTATTGAATAATTTTCGCTTATTTGTCTTTACACAGTATTTATTGTGTTTGTCGTGCGTATAGTTGTTTCTCTACTTATTTCTGAATTTCTGTCTTTGTCCAGTGCTCTCTTTACATTTTTCTCTGTCTGTCTGTCTGTCAGTATATGTATGTATATATATATATGTATGTGTATGTGTGTGTGTGTGTGTGTGTGTGTGTGTGTGTGTGTGTGTGTGTGTGTGTGTGTGTGTGTGTGTGTGTGTATGTATACATATGATTACATGAATATAGGTATGTATGTCGATCTTCCTCTCTCTATACATTTTTAAAATTAATTTGTACGCTTTCGATGACTTTATTTTACCAGTTATGATTCTAAAAATCCTGTTGCCATTCAACCTCTCAAAAAGTTTATAGCGGTACAGTAATAAAAATGAAACCGAGACTCTACGTTTCAATATTTTTCTTCTCTTTCCTCAAGTATTATAATAAAAAGAGGTTTTATGAGACTGGAGGATACCGAACTCACTTAACCGGTAGGCGGGACTCATATGCATAAATGTCAGTCACTTGATAAATTCCTCACCTACGAAATTCAGCTTTATGAATGAAAGTGAGAGAAATGCATTATGCACATCCATGCCTTAAAAAAAAAAAAAAAAAAAAAAAAAAAACATACCGAAAGCTTAACATTGTGTTTGAAGTTCATAACAAAATCACATATGCAAAGTTTCGGAGCGGCGAAAGTTGACGAACGAATAAATCTGATAAGTGAGCGTTCAAAAGCGAAACGATTCGTAGTACGTAACACAGGCCGGTCCCCGTAGCAACACGAGTATCCAATAGTAAAACGAACAAAGTATATAGAGCGCCTGTTTCTCTTTGTGCGGGGGGAGGGGGGGTGGTGGCGTGATATATTTGATCTATTCTCTCGTTGAGTTTTTTTTTTATGATGGAAAAGAACTAGTTTTCTTGAGGTGTATCTCTTGGTCTCTCTCTAACCTGTCTTGATCTGGCTTTTTTTTGTCATCTTTTTTCGGGGGGGAGGGGGTTCTTTGTTTCTTCGTCATTAACGTCACACACAGTTACGTATATATATATATATATATATATATATATATATATATATATATATATATATATATATATGTATGTGTGTGTGTGTGTGTGTGTGTGTGTGTGTGTGTGTGTGTGTGTGTGTGTATACATGTATATATATATGTGTGTGTGTGTGTGTATGTATATACAAATATCTCTATATAAATATATATAAATACATATGTATATATACATACACACACATATGTATGTATGTATATGTATATATATATGTATGCATATAATTATACATACATACATACACACACACACACACACACATATATATGTGTGTATATATATATATATATATATATATATATATATATATATATATATGTATATATATATAAATATATATAAATATATCTATACACATATACGTGTATGCGCACATACGTTTATATATATACGTATATATACGTATATATATACACACGCACCTACACATATACATACATATACATATACATAAATACATATACACGCATCAGAAGTTTAGGCGCGCATGTGTATTGCTTCTCTTGCATACACACGCACACACACACATGGACACGTGCACACAAACACGCATACACTTGCGCACTTCCGTTCATACGCACTCACACTCACTCACAGCGTCTGCCTGAGCGCACATACGCACTCCATTATAAGGAGCCCAAGCATTATAAACTGTAGGCTTGCAGCAGAGGGAAGGAAGCGGGTCGGCGTCTGGCACTTGATTTTGTTAATGCATAGTTTATCTGGCGGATCTTCTATTAAGTGGCTGACTGATTAAAATTGTCGCTTTATGGTAGCTATGTTTATACCTGCCTGATATTGTGATGGTTTGGTTGTTCCTTAGCGAACCTACTTGAGGGAGAAAAGTGTAATACCCGTGCGATTTGACACTGTTACTCGGCGTCCTGTGGGTATGGGGACAGATGATGCTTGTCATTTTCTAAAGATTTCGTAATTTGGTATTCTTTTTAAGGAAGGGGCCGGGGAGGGGGGGGTTATTATCTTTTATTTACCGCTGTTTCTATCCGTTGTGGCACTCTCGATTGGGATCTTATGAACTTATTCAGCACGGTAAGTATTTCCTAGTTAGCACCTTCGGGCATTCCTTTTAGCTTGAAAGGTCCATGTATGTAGGGTCCAATATTGAATTTTATAGACTCTTAAAAGCTCTATGTATTCAGGAATCTTTCTCTTATGTAGCACAATCACAGTTCATTTCTCGCTCGTAATTTTTAGCACGTATTATCATTGACCTAACCACGACAATTACTCACTTACTCATTGCCTGATGCTCCCAGCACTGTGTATATACATATATATATATATATATATATATATATATATATATATATATATATATATATGTATGTATATATATATATATATATATATATATATATATATATATATATATATATATATGTATGTATATATATATATATATATACATATATATATATATATATATATATATGTATGTATATATATATATATATATATATATATATATATATATATATATATATATATATATATAGAGGAACTGAATGTATGTAAAGAAAATGCAGAATGAGAACAAAATAAAGAACAATGGATACAAATAGGCAGAAGAATGAGCAGAACAAAAAGATGGAAGGAAAAAAGGAGTGCAAAGTGAGGGAAGGGGGGGGGCGGCGAGGAGGTCCGAGACGAAGAGACAAATAAGAGTGAGGGGGGGGGGGGGGGTAAATCGTGTATGGCCGGCACTTGCAAAGGTCCTTTTTGCGTATTGCGACTTTTGTTTAAGGTCGCATACATGGAATTGTAAAATTAAAGCATATGTCTTGATCGATAAAGTGTGTTTCTGGACTTAATTCTTATTTTGTTTTCATTTGTCCCTTTGTTTGTTTGTGCTTTTTTTTGTTTTTGTTTTTTTATGTTTGTGTACGTCAGATTCTAATCCAAATATGTGTGTATGGTTTCGTGTTCCGTGTCATTTAGTTTTATTTCATGGGCTGTTGTGTGTTTTAAAATGAGTGTGTGGATGCGGGTGTATCCCTGTGTTTTTATATGTACACGTATGTGAGTGTGTGTATGTGTGTGTGTGTGTGTGTGTGTGTGTGTGTGTGTGTGTGTGTGTGTGTGTGTGTGTGTGTGTGTGTGTGTACTTTTGTGCACTTGCCATTCCATTCTTGTGTTTGTATTTTTGCCCGTTTTGTGAAAGCTGAAACAGCTACATGAGTGTAAGAACGTCTGTCTCTAAACCTGAACCATCCCACACACATTCACCACTTCCATGTCGACTTCCCAGAGATACTTAGAGTGTCCAGATGCCTGACTCCGCCTGTGTGCTTAGAGAACGAGTCACCGCGCCACTGTGAGGGTTATGGTGAAGGTTACAGTGACGGGATGAACGCCAAAATTTTGTGGTCAGTGACCAAAGAAAAAAGTGGGAAAATCTGAAGAGAAAGAATAGGGTACATAGATAGAAAAGGGGAGATATAAAGGGAGAGGGAGAGGATGAGAGGAAATGAGAAAGAGTGAAAGGAAGAAATAGAGAGAGAGAGAGAGACCGAATAGAGAGAGAATATCCATATAGATCAGGATTATCTAAATCTCTTCTCCCATTAAATGAACAACCAAAAGACTAGCGATACATATAAAAAAAACGTCAAATTATATGAAACTTTTAGCCCGACTGACCACCCCGATGTATCCACAAGCTCGGTTTACAGTCATGTAAAAAAAAAAGAAAAAAAAAAAAAGAAAAAAAAAATCAGGGAATAAAAAAAAGTCGAACTAACATGTGCTTAGAGGGCAGACAATTTTTTATTTGTTTGTTTGTTTGTTTCGCAGTGAAAAAAAACAAAGAAAAAGGAAAAGAAATAGTGAAAATAAAACAAACAAAAAAAACCTAATGAATAAAATCGAAATCATGTGAAAACAAAACGACTGCAACACCGTGCAAACTCTGCTTAGCGAACCGTTTCGTGCTGTTTCAAGGACACGCCGGGGGATTATCGCCTAAGGGAACGCGGGAATGACTGGAGTACTGTGAAAATGAACGAAATACTGTGAAAAGGCACGGACCCAGGTTCAAATAAATTCTGAAGTTTGACATATATATATATATATATATATATATATATATATATATATATATATATATATATATATATATATACTTTTTTACGATATTCTTATTTGAGGTTACCTTTCCTACAGAAAGAGCTGTCGTACTTAATACAAACTTAATACTTAATACGACTTAATACACACACACACACCCACACACATATACATGTGCGTGTGTGTGTGTGTGTGTGTGATATGTAGGTATATAGGTATTTATGTGTATACG